ACGTAAAAAGATCATAACGCCCATCTCAAGTAGTTATGCTAGCCCGGTGGTTTTATGTAAGAAAAATAATGATTATCCTTTGGAGCATCCAAAAAGGTGGAGATTCGCTATTGATTACCGTAAATTAAATTCCATAACGAAATATCCGGTATATCCGTTACCGATCATAGAAGAAATTTTAAGGAACATAAAATCAACCAAATTTATGACGACTTTAGACTTAACGACTGGTTATTTTCAAATAGGGGTGAGGCCTGAGGACGTGCCTAAGACTGCTTTTATAACCAAGTCTGGCACTTATGCATTTTTGCGTATGCCGTTTGGCCTTTCAGGGGCAACATTTCAGCGATGCATGGACATTGTGTTAAGACCTGTTCTTGGAAACTCCACATTTATCTATTTAGACGATATCATTATTACTAGTGATAATCTCGACCAACATGTACAGGATTTAAGACAGGTGTTTTCTTTATTAAATGAGGCCGGTCTAAAAGTTAATGTCGAAAAGTGCAAATTTGCAGCCCCTGAATTAAAATATTTAGGTTACAAAATATCTCAAAAAGGGATCGAGACAGATGAATCAAAAATAATCGCTGTACAAAAGTATCCGACTCCAAACACGGCAAAGAAGCTCTCTTCTTTTCTAGGACTTTGTTCATATTATAGGTCCTTTATAAAAGATTTTGCAGCTATCGCTGAGCCATTGTTAAAATTAAAAAGGAAAAAGGCAAGATTCTCGTGGACTGGCCGAAGCCAATAGTGCTTTCGAAAAATTAAAACAAGCATTAACGCAAGCCCCTGTGTTGAAATTTCCTGAAAAGGATGAAAATTTAGAAATTTCAGCGGATGCTTCGGATTATGCGGTAGGAGCGGTACTTTCGCAAAATCAGCAGCCCGTGGCATTTTTTAGCCGAACTTTAAATCAAACACAAAGAAACTATTCCGCGACCGAGAGAGAGGCACTTGCAGTTCTGTTAGCAGTGCAAAAGTTCCGAGTCTATTTTGGAAAGGCGCCGATAACAGTATACTCTGATCATGCGGCGGTAACTAGATTGTACTCAGGAAAAAATTTATCCCCAAGGTTAATAAGATGGGCACTCAAGCTGCAAGAATATAATCTGGTAATCAAGCATACTCCCGGAAAGGAAAATATCGTAGCAGATGCCCTATCACGAATTAAATTAGACGAACAGGGTAATACCAAAAAAGTTGCAATGCTTACAGCGTGTACAATAAATTCCCGAGAAACTGTAATAACAGAACTGGGTAAGGATCCTGAGTTTGGAAGTATTTATGAGTATTTAAAGGATCCTGAAAATTTTAGCCACCAAGATATTGTGGCGATAAGAAATAGGGCGGCCCATTACGAACTAATAGATGGTCTATTATTCTATACAAAAAAAACTACGAATTCCAACAACGAATTTCGACCTGTTATCCCAGCTAGTCTTAGATTAAATATCCTGCATGAGCTCCATGACAGCCCTTTAGCTTCTCATGCTGGTATTCGAAAAACTATCCAACGCGTACGCGAGGCAGTCTACTTTCCTGAACTGCAAAAGTTAACAAGGGCGTATGTCCAGTCCTGCCCAACATGTCAAGCCGTTAATTATATTAATTTCCGCCCGGCCGGGTTTCTAAATAGTATTAAATCCGAATTTCCAAATGAAATAATTGGCATCGATTTATTGGGCCCTTTCCCAAAAAGTCAGTTAAATAAAAGTCGCTATCTCCTTGTTATGGTTGATCATTTTAGTAAATGGACCGAAATTGTTCCCTTAAAACGAGCCTCCGCGAAATTAGTTACCGATTCTATTTTAAATAAATATATTTTAAAATACGGGGCGCCCCTAAAAGTTATATCGGATAATGGTCCTCAATTTGTAAGTAATATATTTGAAGACATGTGCCAAAAACTGGGCATACGTCATTTAAAAATGGTCCCGTATCGGCCGCAATCAAATATAGCGAACGGGTCAACAGAAATATAGTGAAAATTATCCGTAGTTATGTTAAAAATTTTCATAAAAGCTGGGATAACTATGTCAATGAATTTGCTTTCGCCCTTAGGACCGCAAAACATGATACAACGGGCAAAACTCCTGCTGAGTTATTTTTAGGCAGAAAGATTATAACACCGTTAGATAAACTTATTTTATGTGCAACAAAGAGCCCCAGAATTTAAAATGGGTGATATAGAAAAACTAATTAAAGAAGCAAAGAAAGAATACGGAAGTAGCACAAAGAAAACAGAAAGCTATATTATGACTTTGAAATTACGACGGGGAGTAACTTATAAAGTAGGGATGAAGTTTTAAAAATTAAGCATTCACTTTCTCTTCAGCACCAGAAGATAAAACTGCCAAATTTTTTCCACGATTTGAAGGACCATATGTTATAGAAAAAATAACTCACGGCTGTTGTAGTGTTAAAAGCCAAGAAATGGTGAAACCTGTTCCGCAAACATTGATCAAATCAAAACCCTACTATCGATCGTAATAAAATGCAAATCTTTTCAGATCTTTTGCAGGATCCGGCACGGCAGACACCGCAGGTACAAGTTCCAGAGGTGAAAAAAACGACAAGTACAAGGGCAAGCCAATGAGAGACAGAAGCAAGTGAAAAGAAAATTGCCCCGCGGAAAAATGGAAGGTAACAAGAAAAAGAAGCCGTTCCACCGTCCAGAAAACAGAGTTCACGAACACCCCCAGAATGAAGAAGGGAGAAGGACGACGTATGTGAAGAGGACCAGGAGAAATGACGGCAACTATAACCCGGCTTTAAAACGGAAGATCTACTCATCCGACAGAACTCTCCGCAGCAAAGTCGCCGAACTGCGGAAGGGCCATCAGCGGCGGAGGAAAAAGTACAAGAAAAATTTGAACGGCCAACAACGAGGTCCAAGCAGGATCACGACAGAAGTTTCCCGGTTCCGCCAAGACCAGCTGCCATCAAACGGCCAAGACCACAAGCAGAGGAGAAAAGGAAGGTATTCAAGGGTGGCCGTACTGGTGAAAAACGGAAGCTTCCAGAGGAAAGCACTGAAGGGCGAGCCCGTACAAGAAGGAGGATAAACCAAGCTACTATCTGCAGTACCTTTAAAGACTGGGCCCAGAAAAGGATGTCCGAATATTACAAAGATAAGTAAAATTTTATATGTTACCTTTGCAAACTTAAGTTAATCTTTCATTCTTACTGCAAGTGGCAGATTTCAAGAAGTTTTACCTCATGCGAGGTCTACCTTTATCGCCAAAAAGGGCGAGAAATGAGTTGTGACCGATTTTCGTATTATGTTTTTAATTACTCGTGCGTAAAACTAAAGTTGATGTATAATAGCGTTGTGTAAAGACTTAAATATTGTAAAAAATTATTGTATAAATTTTATTTAAAACATTCTAGCAAGAAAGAAGTTTTAGTCTGAAAGACTTTTTGAAATGTAGTATTATTTCAATGTAGAAAGAATTGGCACTTGCTTTGAAAAGAATAGAAGTTAACAATGTACTACTAATGTATGTTTTCAAATGTGTAAAATTAACGGCATGTTGATATGTTCTTATATACATGTGAACTGTTATTTTAAATGTTAAGAAATACCGTGATATGGTAAAAGTGAAAGTAATGTTAAAAATTTGTTATTCGTGTGACTGTAAAGATTAAACCAGGGCGAATATGTGTTAAAGGTTGAATGATGTAGTTAGGCTCTCTGACGCTACACTTTAGAGTTAGCCACTTTTAGAATAGTATCTCAGGATTTAGAGTTGAAAGTAGGGTGTGTTAAGAGGTCTCGTTATGTTGAATTTTAACACGTTAGTAGTGTTTTGATTGTAGGAGGAAGTGTGGCACACGTATACATAAACACATTCGTGTTTGGTGTTCTTTTACAACACATGTCAGAGAGCACGGGGAGAGATAATTAAAATAGTCATGAATGAAATAAGAATGTTAAGAGAAATATAAATATGCATGTTACTTGCCATTTCATTGTGTAACATTTCATTAAACTAGTTTTCCTTCCAGATCTCTGGAAGGAACCAGATTTGAATAAAAGCTCCTGTTTAGATGCAGTACGGATGAAAAATTGGTGGTCCATGGAGCTGCTATTGTAAAACAAATTTTTTTTTAATTTCTAGTTTCTAGTGAGAAATGTTTGTAAAAGATTGGCCTCGCGTTAGATTCTAGAGCTAAAAGTTTTCAACAAGGTCGTTTTAGACCTCAGTTTCAAACTAATTAACTCTGGCGGGAAGTATGTAAGGATCTTAAGTTTTACTAACGTTATTTTTATTTAAAAAATCTTTACTATCACTTCTTATTTTCTACTTCCGGCCAGAATTATAAGCGTGAAGGTTTTTATGCAAAGTTTGTCTGGCGAACACCAAGTATTTAAGTGTGGCCTTTTTGCCAAGCGAAAGAGAGGAAGCAGTGAATTCGAAGCAGGCAGCTTACCTTAGAAGTTACGCAGTTGCTATTTGCCTTCCAGGCCAGAGGTTTTAATCCTCTTGATAAATTAAATGTATTGTAGTGTTCACAGTCTCTGTGCTACATACGCTTCCTGTTATTATAAGGCCAATCTTCCACGTGTATTATTCTAAAGTTAAATTAGAGTTTAGTTTTATTTTTTATACTTTTTTACGTTAGACCCCGAGTGGAGGGTCATTGTATTCCAAAGTACGGAAGTCATTGTATATAGAGAAAAATAAAGGGTTTTGTATACCCTTCGTCTGTATCCTGTCTACTTACTACAATTAGTGAACATAGCATTAGTAAGCTCTCTGTTCCGAGTCAGGTCCTTGTATGTTCCCGAAGAAGGTTAGAAGGAACATTGAACCTGATAATATAAAATATCTGAAACCACAAAATAAAAAAAAATAATAATAAAAAAACAACTCAGAAGCATGTTTCGATGTTATTACTCATTAAAAACGCAAATACGCTGCAATGAAAATAGAAAGCAAAAACTAGGAAAAAGATAAATTATCAATACACATCAAGCACATACTTACCACTATAGTATATGGATGATTATTTCGATGACTTTCATATTCACGTCCTTTGGCAAAACACTGGAGGCAAAAGGAACGAGTTGGATTCTTGCATTTTGCACATCGCACATATGGTTCAATTAAAAAAATTCCACATATAGGACAAGCCAGTGCTTCTCCCATAATGATGATTAAAAGTAACTGAAATATAATTAAAATTAATGAAGCATGATAAAGCAGAATAAAAAAAAAAAACCCCTAACAACAGTTAAAACTTATTATAGTTTAAAAAAAAAGGCCTTTAACTTCTTAAAGAGTGCTTATTTTTTATGAAAACATTCTTAATTCCTCCTGAAAAATGTAACTTAATTAAGTTTCTAAATCAAATATGAGATAGCAACCACATACATAAGGGTATCTAGCTACTATTTGATTCACCTAATATTATTTAAAACATCAGAAACCCTGTATTTTCCATGATATACAGGTTGAGCTTTATATTATTCAGCACCTGTTTCAGTTTAAGAATAACATGGGCATAAGAATTAATAAGCAATAATTCAATCCACCATATGCATGGGGGCCAGCAGTAAAGACTTGAAAAATGTTAAACCCTTGCAGCTTCGAAAAACCTAAAGGATCTCACATTATTATACACCATTCACACTTGTTACTACTTAAAGGAAATGAAATTTCTTCTACTTTTTAATTTTTCATTTCAAACATATCTACTTATGGTTTTTTTAAATTAATTAATTAATATAGTGGCAATTCATGTTAACATGAAAGAAATGTGCCCTTTGCAGATTTTTTTAAACTTGAGTTAAGTTTGATTCAGCCTTTTTCTCAGTTCCAAAATCTAAAGCACATTATTCAAGAGCTCATGTAAGAGCGCACATGCTATGCAGAAATCCTTAGATCATGATCTGAATTATAAACAGTGAACAATATAGCAGATTGCTATCATGAAATAGGCAATCAGGAGAAGCACATGTTCTGTTACTGTATCCAAAACAGAACAGTACACCAGAAAAAGTAAAAGATAAAATAATAAAAAAATATAAATAACACCAAGTTGAAGGAAGGAGTTGAAGATGCTAAGAAAATTAGCAAGGGAGGATTGCTCTTAGAAGTAACCAAAAAAGATGACCTGACAATACTACAGGAAACGATTTAAGAAAACAAGCAACAAAAGGACGTGGTAGAAATGAAATATTCAGAGAAATTGGATCCAAGAGTAATTATATATAACATGAATAAAGGCACTGGCAAGGATGATGTAAAAAGATATACTAGTTAAAACCCAAAGAATGAAAGCCAAATACGGACAACACTAGGGAACATGAGTGGATTCAGTAACATTAAAAAAGCTAATGAAAAACTGGAGCCAACTTACAACTTTTACTTTATAGAATACTTAAGGAGTATCTGACGATCCCACAATGCATCAAATGTTTAGGCTACAACCACACCACTAAATATTGTAGGGCATGGTTCAGATAAACGCAAATCAGCAGAATGTAATGAGGAAACTAAAAAATGCATAAACGGCACAAAAGCAAACTAAAGACTTAGTACAGGCATAATCCATATCATGACACTAGGAGTGAACAATGTCCACGCTATATAAGGAAGATAAATCTATTTCAGCAACGCATCAATCATGGATAAAATCTCATTAATTCAAACCAATACACATGAATAATGTAGAAGCAAAACCAGAAGAAAATGGTACTATCAAATTAGATGCATTCAAGAGCCCTATTATTTAGTTAAAAACAAACTACAGTCAAAAGTCTTTAGTCTGGACTTGTCAGGGCTTCAACGATTCCGGATTATAGATCATCAGTTTAAATCTGGTAAGATGGCATGCAGAAATTACAAAATTAAAAATATGAAACCATAATTTATAAAATAAAGAGCAATTATGATCTAAAGGGTATCAAAATTTACAAAAAAAAAAAAAAAAAAAAAAAAAAAAAGCTTCATATTTATTTGTTTACCTTATTAAACATTTCTTTCCCGTGCGCATGCGTAAAGCATACATTACGCATAGTCGAAATTAGAAAATTGCAACCAGAAAATTATTTGATGTGTATTTGTGATATTTATAATGAAGAGGAATTTGATTTAAATCATATCATCAACTACGGAGTACATCGAGATGAAATACTACATTTAGTGAGGAATTATAAGCCAAATAAAATAAAAACATCTGCCCTGAAGATAAGGATAGTGCTGACAGATCAACTTCCAGTTCATTGCGTGCCGCGACATTCCCCCCTCCCCTGCAGAGCAGCGGGAAATTGATAAACAGATTTCGGAATGTTTAAAGAAACAAAGGATATGCCTTTATCCATTTTTTGCAGCAATTCCACTTTTTCTTTGTTGGACATCGAAACATGCTTTGGCTTTGTAGATCCTTTGGCAGCTACAGAATCGGAAATTCTTTTTGACATAATCGAAAGTTTAAGCTTACTTTAAATAAAATTGCTCTAACAGTAAGCCAGATCCAATTAAAAGATTAAGGAGCAACACAATCTTCAACATTAACTGAAATAGATAATTAGATAATTTTAGCTTAGCTTATACTGTCCGTTATGCATCACACGAGCATGCGTAAACACATTAGGCATGTGCAAACAGTTTGTAGCTTTGAGGTCCGGATTATAGATCATTCCGGATTATGGATGTCCGGATTAAAGACTTTTGACTGAATATGGTTTCCCATAAAATATCATAAATACTATCGCTCAACGGACACAAAAACATGAATAATCATTTCTGATTCACTGCTTTCAGTTATTTAAGTGCTTATACTTTTTATCACAAGAATATTGCAGCCTTTTTTTTGAAAATGACACATCACAAATTTGTCTTCAGTTCATCAACAATTTACAATTATTTCACAATGCTGTGAAAATTATTGAAGGGGACAAAATTTCAATTACAGAAGTATTAAATGAAATCAATAATTTAAAAACAAAACTGCAAGAAAGAATTGATAACAATTACGTTCCTTAGTTATTCGAAAGGACATCACTAGGCTGGAAGAACAAGGTATCATATTATCCTATGAAAACCCTATTATGATGTAATTGGTTGTGTGATTACGGTAAATTTGAATGATGAGACGAATTTCAGTACACTGCTATTTTGTGGTTTACACGGTAAAATTGTTGAATGTTGTAATATTAATTTGAAGTTTCTGTATGATTTCGAATGAAAGGGAAAAAAGCATTAACTGAGTGATGTGTAACTAAAAGGTTTACTTAGTTGCCATTATAAGTGTCCTGTTTGTAGGAAGGAAATACATATGGTCAAACATTACAGTGCACCTACACTATAGAGGATATTTTTAACTTTTAGTTTTATGAATTTACGTGGCAATGCCAGTATACAGATTCTAGTTCAGATAGTTTTAGGAAGTTTTTAGATGCTGTTAAGGAATTTTATTTGACTGAAGACAGGGAAATTTGTAAATAAGGTAAATGTATATTCACAGATTCTCCAGAAATTCAATTTTCAAGTCGGTTTCTCCCCTATTAATAAAATTCCCCCTTCGATTCTAAAATATTGCGTTTCTGTCTTGAATTCTTGGAGAATTTATAGTATATCGTGTCTCTGTGGTTTAAGATATATTGGCCAAAAAAAAAGAGCGTTAAAGTTTGTATCAGGGAACATGAATCTTATGTCAGAAAAGGCAAAATTAACAAATCTTCAATAGCGTATCATAGTTGGACATTTAACCATAATTTTGACTTTGGGTCTGCAAAAATTATCCAAAAGGCTTCTTACATAGGTGAATTGGATTGTTTGAGGCTTTTCATATTCACAAAGATTTAGCATGTTTAGTTAATGATTTTAAGTCCAATCCAGTTCTTCCTAATGGCTTTAAAATTCTACTATCTTAATTCAGTTATTTTTGCCGATAGATGGCGTTACCTCTTCGCGTTTGGTACTACCAGAGGGTATAAAAATCCGTTCAATGGTTGCTTTCCATTATTCGAAGTTCAGATTTTGAGCGTGAAGGTGCATTTGCCCCTCGCTCCCTATTTTTAACTTCGCCATTTTTCTTGTCCTTTGTGTTACATGTTTGATCAGATAGCCTGGCTCAGTAAAAGTAGGTGGCCAGTGCAACTCTGATTAAAAATCCGGTTACAACCACGTGCAGTGCTGATAAGGACCATGTGTTTCTAAGACTCCTTCCCCTTTATTTTTCTTCTTTCTAGGTATTTCTTTCTCCTGATGAGGAGGGACTTTTAGCGACCCTCGAAATCGATTGAGTGTTTCCATATACTTACGCTAAATACAAGGTTGTTTTTACAATTTTGAAGGTAAATGTATATTTCCTTTGTGTAATGCTGAGATGAATTTCCTTTTTTTTTTTTTTTTTTTTTAATGGGTACTACTCCGTTTTGAGGACCGTAAAAAAATTGCAGCAAAAATGTATGTGCAAAAGCGCCCATTTAAAAGCGCGCCAAATCTAGCATACACGCTGATTTCAAATTGCGTAAGTCTAAATAGTTCTATATTTCTTAGGGAATAGGCTAGCACGAAAAGTCTGCAAAAGAATTTTTCCAAAGAAAAGGCATCATTCATTATAGAAAATTATCTTTGAACAACCAACGAGATGAAATTATGCTTTAGCGATAACTCGGTAGCGAAATAGCTATACAGGAATCCTTCAAATATGTTTAGTCTTTTTTTATATAAATTATAATAATGATCTTTTGGTGGTCGTGTGCTTAATGCATGATATAATTAAAGAAAATAAGAGTAGACAATCTCCTATAACAAAAGAACATATTAAGTACTAAATTACAATTTAAATTACATTGCAGAGATCAACACAGAGCTCGGAACACAGTTCATGCTACCGCCGCGTACAGTTGTCTCTTGAGAAGTCTGAGTGAGTAATGACGTCGCTTTGCTGCTCCGATTAAGAACTGGATTTTACACGTGGCGCCATCTCATGAATAGAAGTTGAAGTATCTGTCAGAACGCCACAGTACTCCCCCCCCCAAGTACCATCGGTACGTTATAAGTACTTTGGGTTAAATTTAACCTTTCTTCCAGATCTGGTAGTTTTAGGTTGCTCTTTAACGGGATGTAAGCTTTCTTCCGGGAGTGATGTTGATGAGGAAGTTGTTGGATCTTGCATTAGAAATGCTGGTTTGAGACGATCGATTCCAATCACT